CAGTAAAAGATAAGCTAAAGTCTGCAGATATTAATTTAAGATATCTTCAGATATGTCTGTTGTAATAAGCTGCAAGTGAGAAATCATGGCCGTATGATTTCTCATTGTAAAGCTCATTAATTAAGCTGTGTTATTGCATTTAATCAGAATAATCAAGTGTACAATGTTTTGATGTTAAATTTTGATTCTGTTAATAAATGACCACATTCATTTTGATGGGTCAAAGAAAATTAACATCTCACGTCACTGATTAGACCATCTCCCACACAGTATCTCTGTCACATATCTGTCAAGTAGCTCGAAAAAGAGAGAACCCGTTATTAAATATTGATTGTAGTGAAGCTAACTGAAGCTAACCGACCCTAGCTCACTACAACATCAATCTGGTTTCAGGAAACAACACAGCACAACCACTGCTTCACTGAAGGTTCTTAATGATGTTGTTGAAGCACGGGATGCTAAGGATTATTGTGCTGCACTTTTCTTAGACCTGTCTAAAGCTTTTGACACTGTGGATCATAACATCTTGTGTCATACAGTAAGCTCTCAGAAATCGGTTTCTCAGAACACACCATTGGTTGGTTCTCTAACTATCTCTCAGACCGGAGGCAATGTGTTCAACATAATGGTACTTCCTCCAGGTATTTAACTGTCAACAATGGTGTACCACAAGGCTCAGTCTTAGGACCCACCCTCTTTACAATCTATATAAGTAATGTATGTAAAAACATCCCTGATGCATCCATACTCATCGTAATTTAGCAAAAACCTGTTGTTTTGTTCGTTGTGTTAAAGAATACTAGTTTTGCAATTCGAGTGAAAGTGGAATATTCTCCCTTGAAGTGTATTGAAGACAAAGCCTTAAAGTAACAATTACGAGAACATCCTGAAATCTCGGGTTTAGCTGAACAACTCTGAGGAACAGAAAGTAAATATGTATATTTAATAATGTTCCAATATTTTTATCTCCTAAGAATCTGCCCATAATTTACTCTTAAGATGCAGTTGCAATATATGAGCCAGGTCTTCAGTTAATTTTGTAATATCTTATTCATTATTAACACTGATAACACCATGAAGCTATGGTTTTTGTGTGCCATCTTACTTTCAGTTTTGCAGTCCAGTGAATGATTGATGGAAGTGCTTTCCCCATTTTTATCCATCAAGTAAAAGTCTG